TTTCCTACGTCTGCTTGGATCATTAAGTTTCATTTTCATAAGGAAGTTGGGAAAATTCTTTTAGCTCACCATGACTTTACCTTTCCTCAACTGCAGCCGAGATTGCAATGTTCGATGGATACATTGTAGTCTATAAATTTGTCCAGGACCTGCACTTTTTTGTCACTGCCGGAGATGATGAAAATGAACTCATCTTAGCAACAGTGCTTCAAGGCTTCTATGATGCTGTTGTTAATCTCCTCAGGTCTATTGCTATTTCTCTTGTATCTCTTTCTACCCTTTGTTTAATTGCCTGATGATGAGTTTCTTTCTACCAGGAATGACGTGGAAAAGAGGACTGCTCTGGAGAACTTGGACCTGATTCTACTTTGCATTGATGAAATTGTTGACGGAGGGTATGTTTTCTTTTTCCCTTTCATGTTATTTTGAGTAATTGATGCTTGAGACTTCTCATGACTAACTTCAAGCAATTGATGCTTGAAACTTCTCCATGACAAAAATTAGTTAAAACTTATAAGTAGGATGATTAAATTCCTGAAACTGATTATGTTCACTACAAGCCTTAAAATGTTTTCATATTTTCATCTAACAACATCTTTGCTAGAAGAGTAAATATATTTTGTCATTGATGTGCATGATGGCGACAAGGTCTGTGATCAATGCAATCATTTTTTGTTGCATATGGTGCATCCCTTAATGCATCTGCAAGTTTAAACTGTTTGGTGTTGGCTCAGTAACTCCTTGGTCAAATCTTCTAGTGTGCCGTAAACGACTCTGACCGAACAACACCAACATCACACATTACTCTATAATTAGCATTTCTTTTCTTTGTGTTTGCTGCATTAAATAGCTCGATCATGGTGGCATGCAAATCTTAGTACTCACAAATGATTTTAGTGGAGGTCTTACGTTCCAGAATTATAGGCTAATGCTAGGCATTTTGATGTTGCTGCATGGTTATGAGGGAATTCCTTGTGTGCTTATCTTGTTTCTTCTTTTAGTTAAGAAAGGCTGTATCCTAAGTTGAATCATGGACCTCCTATTGCCCTACTTCAACCATTTCACAGGGTGGAATTAAAAGTTTACTACATCGAAAGTGCTAGACATTTGGTACAGTGTCATGTAATTAGGACGTGATTCTTAATGATAAGAAAACTAGTTAATTGGAACTTTGGTCAATTCTTCTACTGAAAAGGAGAATCAAATTATTGTGACTGGGATGGCTGATCTTTGTCAACTATTGATGTATTGGCGGTCATAAGGATGTCTAGTCGTTAAAACTTTGCTTGCATATTAAATCATCCATTTCCTTTTGTTTTTCTTTTTGTTTTATTTTATCTTTTTTCCCCCACTGTTGATAGAATAAAATAAAAAGAAGGTTGATAATTTGTGAGCAAATGCCAATAAAACTTTGTTGGTCTGTTTTCTTTTTGAAAACCCTTCACATTCTTTACTTTGTCTCAATGCAGGATCATCTTGGAAACCGATGGGAGTGCCATTGCTGGAAAGGTTGCAACTAATGCTGCTGATAGTTCTGTGGTCTTCTCTGAGCAGGTGAAATTTCTTACCTAGGTTCCTTACCTTTTCAAGTTCATGAATTCTAGTTTTAATTCTTTTGACGGGTTTTTTTATTATTTTCTCCTTTCTTCAGAACATTTCTCAAGCATTGGCTACAGCAAGGGAACACTTTACAAGATCTTTCCTGCAATGATTTTGTAGTGACATTCTGGTTTTGCTTACCTTGGATTCCAACAATGGCATTCTTCTCATCTTTGCCATTCATTTTGAGTATTGATTATGAGTCTGATACGTTTTCTTTTGTTGGATCAGTTGTAACTTTTTTCTTATTCAAACTATTGTATCTGGCTTAGATTAATAAAGGGGATATAATTATATTGCGAGTCAGATGGTTAGTTGGACATATGGTGATTTGTGCGAATCCTCGGCAGAAATTCAATAGGATTATGAAACATTGTTATCAAATGGTGATATTGATGAAGGGATGCCCTACTTTTACAGAAATTGTTGTACTCTATTGGTTCCTTGTCTTTTAAAATGCTGAAAGTTTTGTTTCTCTCGAGCTGGCAATGAAATCGTAGATCATATCAATTTGATTTGGTCCTGTCTGTTGATTTATATTGTTGGCAGTGGCTCTGCAAACCCCTAAATAGATAGATTATTCATCTTGGAAATCAGGCCTTGCAAGCTCTTGCGCAATAGTTATTGTTGGTTCTAACGTTTATCATACAGTGTGTTGCACATATCAGCAGTTTGTTGTGTTTCCACATTTGAACTTTCTCAAACAGTAAAGGTGGTTAATTTCTCCTCCCCTAACAAGGAAGATAAAAAGATCTTCATGATATGAATATGTCTCGAATCTAAGATCGTTTCCCGATTAAGCTTAGGTTTCTCTATCAACTGCACAAGTTTATTCTGCACAAAATTTGCATGTTGCGTTGTGGTAATGCAGAGTGTATCACTGTCTTCAAACATCTCCACTGTTGAAGAGTGTCTTACATTCGTGACCCAAATAGAATTAACATGTTTGAGTCTATCAAATCTGATGAGATTAGTCTAGTACACCTATGATTCATGGACCTTTGCAACCTGACATGAACGACGGAAAAAAAAAACTATTCCTAATATGATCACTACAGAACTGTATCGCAGAGGCCGACAGTTTTGAAGCGGCTCGCATGTCATTTACAAAAAATGTGGACTATGTACTGGCAATCAAGAGATTTCTTCTTTTAATGTATGCAAATATCATGTATCACTGTTCTTCTTTCTCTTCTCCCGGGCAAATATTGCCTTTGAGCCACGAACAACCGCTCCTCCAAGAGCTGTGATCAGCTCTAAATAATCGTTTTATGTGCAGAGGAACTCTGTGAGACCTACACGTATTTTCCCCTCCTTTTAAGAGTTATGCTTTGGATGTATAAGTTACTTCTCTCATCTTATTATGTTCTGGTTTTCGATGGGCGCAAGAGAACTGGAGAAATGAACAGATGAAACCAAGTGATTTTCTATGTTAACTTAATGGGGGTAAAATTGTCCGCCTTCGATTTCTTCATCTGTTTGATTGTCTTCATATTTTGTTTGCTGAGTTTGGCATGCTAATGCGTCTAGGCTTCTGGTCCTAAAGATTTTTAGCACCATTATGACATCTACAATATGAAAATTAAACTAGAGTAAGGCATTCCTTCAAGTAGAACACGTTGATCACTGATCCGTTCAGGTTTCTGAAATATTCTCATATGTATGTTCATAGAATCCTGAACCATTTTGATGTCAATTGTAGAAATAGGAAATTCCTAACTTTTATACAACAATTCAATCACGGTTGCAGTTCCAGTATGCAATGTAAGCTTATAGAATGCAGGATATAGAAATTCCAGGACACCAGAAACAAACGCAGTCTTCTTTCTTTCGTTTCACACAGATCCCCTTTTTTTCATACTCGCTATCTTCGGCAAAGTAGCAGGCCTTCAACTTTTCAACAACCCTGAAACAAATGACAATACAGAATCATCATTAAACTTCAATTATGAACAACGCGAAAATTATCACGAAAGAGGAGAATACTTACATGCTGTATGTACCGATGAATCATTTGAATTAGAGGACTTCCATCCCTTTAACAAAGATTACTCTGGATCTCTTCTTCCTCTAGTGTGCCTCTAGTTAAGGCCAGTTAAGCTTTTCCTGCACCTCTGCTGCACCAGACGAACCCTAAGCTAATGACCAGCGGTAAGAGGCATAGTAATTGTTGAATTTTTTGGTCAAAACTGCTTTCCAAAATGAGTTTTCAAACTATATATATATATATATATATATACTACAAGTACTTTTCACGTACTTTGCACTTCGCACGGAGGCATCGGGGCGAGGTGGCGCTGTTTGGCGCCACGAAGGTTGCCTCGCAGGCTGCTTCGCAGCATGCAGACAAGCTACGTATTCGCACGAGGGTGACCCTAGCGTTCTCGTAGTTTGACAAGATTCACTCGTTCGACAAGGTTCGCCTGTTTGACGATGTTCGTTCGTTCGACGAGGTTCGTCTGTCATACGAGGTTCGCTTGTTTGACGAGGTTCGTCTGTCATACGAGATTCGCCTGTTTGACGAGGTTCGCTCGATCGACGAGGTTCGTATGTCATACGAGGTTCGCCTGTTTGACTATGTTCGCTCGTTTGACGAGGTTTATTTGTCATACGAGGTTCGTCTGTTTGACGACGTTCGTTTGTCAAACGAGGTTCGTCTGATTTGCTGAGACGTGACCCTCGCATTTCGTAGCAACGCGTCCATTGATTATCTCGTATTCAGCAGTTACTGCATGCAGTAGTTACAACAGCATTAAGAGAAATTTAATGCATTGATGTTATAATTTTAATTGCCATTAAGAATTGTAACAGTCACATTAATTGCTAGTGACTCTTGAGTTGGCCTTAGAGGCCTATAAATAGCGCCATTGGGCAGCTCTTGGTTGTTGCTGGAAACTTTCTCGCGAGCGTGAAATACGAACGTCAGTATAGTGTTGAATATCATTTCTCCATGATAATGTTTTGATGATAACAATTTATATTGTGTGTATACTAACTTTCATATGCAGATTTCAATATCAGAATATGAACAAGTGCAAGTGGATATCAAGGCATTTGAAGTAAAGAAAATGAAGAACAAAAGATAATGTATTTGTATTTTTCTTTACCTAGAATATTTTGTACAAGCCTTGATCGCACACACGCACACACACACAATTTAAGAACACACTAACACAAGCTTAGTGTGTTGGTTAACAATAGAAATCCCCTATGTTAACCATTAGAATAATAGTTAAAACTTAATTATAAAAACTCACTATTTCTGAATTTTTGATCTTAATAGTCGACTAATTAGGATAGTAGTCGATTACTCATGTATATAACTCAAATACAAGTTTCTGTCTTTTTACAGTATAGTCGACTAATAGAGATTATAGTCGACTACTGAGATGTTTGACAGAAACATAAGTTTCTGTCTTTTTACAGTGTAGTCGACTAATGACTACAGTAGTCGACTACTGAAGAAAAATATAAGTTTTCAAGTTTCTGTCTGAACTCAGTGTAGTCGACTAATTATCATTATAGTCGACTACTGAGAACATTTTCCGAAAACACAGAGTCTGTCTGAACTCAGTGTAGTCGACTAATGACTACAGTAGTCGACTACAAGAGACAGTTTTTCAGTTTTCAGAATTTGAATATCTGACAGTTCTTGGCCGTTTTTAAACGTTTTCAAACTTTAAAAACTTGTCTTTTCAAGGGGTATATATAGGTTATTTGTTCAGAAAAATTGGAGACACATACATACCCATAAGCTTTGATTCTTGAGCAATTTTCCAAGTGAAAAACATTCTGATTTTCTGAAAAAGAAGAGTTTCTGAAATTGCCTATATACTTTCATCAAAAACAAATCAATTAGGCAATTTTACAGAGATTAAAAGAATCCTAAGCCACTGCTGCACATTATTACACATTCAAGGCTTATAGGATCATTGTGTTCTTCTTCAACAAGTTTTCTCTCGGTTGTGAGAGGGTTAGTCTCTTGGGTTAGAGATTGGTGTTCAAATTGACAAGGAGTTTGTCAATTGGTGTTGCAATTTGCAGGAACTTGCAAATTGGTCAGGTTTGCATTTGATTTTGTAAGTTTATTCAAAATCATAGTGAAAACTCTCAAGCGGGATTTGCTTGGGGACTGGATGTACACCAGTTTGGTGGAACCAGTATAAAATCCTTGTGTTTGTGTTTGCAAATTTCTGAGATTGCCATTTTTTCTTTGCAATTTATTATCTACTTTGCAATAATTTTAAAAGAACACTATTCACCCCCCCTCTAGTGTTCAAGTGTATCTATTTCAGATCCTACATTTGGTATCAGAGCAAGGTGAAAGATGGCATTGTCAAATACATCACAATTCAAGGAAGGTCACTCTACAAATCGTCCTCCAATGTTCGATGGCACGAACTACAACTACTGGAAGTGTAGGATGAAGATCTATCTCCAATCTCTTGGCTACGAACTTTGGAACGTCGTTGAAACAAAATATGAGAAACCAACAACTCCTTTCGCGGAATGGACTACATCTCAAAGGAACAATGCGAATTTGGATTCTAAAGCAATGAATGCCTTATTTTGTGCACTTGACAAGAATGAGTTCAATAGGGTGTCAACGGCCACATCCGCATATGATATTTGGCACACACTCGAGGTAACTCATGAAGGTACTACTAAAGTTAAAGAATCTAAAATTTCTGTTCTTGTGCACAGATTTGAATTATTCAAGATGAAGGAAAATGAGACTATTGGAGAAATGTTCACAAGATTCACCGACATCACAAATTCTCTTATTGGTCTTGGAAAAACATATACTCAAGTGGAGATGGTAAGAAAGATACTTCGTTCACTTACTCCACAATGGGAAAAGAAAGTTACCGCTATTGAAGAAGCCAATGATTTGTCAACTCTTACGGTTGAAAATCTTATTGGTAATCTTATGGCATATGAAGTACAACTTGAAGATAGGAAGAATGATGAAGAATCTAAGAACAAGAAAGTTCTTGCATTTAATACTACTTCAGATAAAGAAGATTCAGATGATAATGATGAAGAAATGGGCATGTTTGCACGAAAATTTCGAAAATTCATCAAAAGAGGTAATTTTAAATTTAAGAATTCAAATTCAACTAACCCTCTTTGTTTTAAGTGTAATAAACCAGGGCATATGAAGAAAGATTGTCCAATGTTGAAGAATAAACAAAAATCAAGTTATTTCAACAACTTCAACAATATTCAAAATAACAAGAAGAGGAAAGCAATGGCGGTCACTTGGGATGATAGTGATGAATCATCCTCAGATGAAGAAATTGAAGAAAAGGAAAGTGCTCACATGTGTTTCATGGCACAAGATGATGTAAGTGAAAATGAAGAGCTTTTAGATGCTTTTAATGAATTATATGAAACTTTTATAAGATTAAAAATTTCACATA